AAACTCATATCGTTCTCAAGATGTCTTCTGAAAAAAATAACGATACAAAGGCTGGGACAGCGTAAGGGTGGGACGAAAACGGGACGAAAAGACGTGCGAACAAATTCTCGTCTAATTAATACCCCGACCACAATGGCGGAAAGCGCCGCAATTTCTCGGCCTTAAAACCAATTTGTTGCCCGCTCTCGGGCTCCTTGCTTCCCCTTCGGAACAGTGCGACGCCCGAGCCTGTATTATGCTTAGGGTTCTGCCATTATGTTTCCCCAGTTTTGCCGAAACAATACAGCGTATAAGTGGTCGTCGCGCTACGTCCCGACGTAATATTACGCCGGCTGATTTATATCGCCCGTTCTACGACCTGCTCTGCAACATTATATTCACTCACTAGGCGATTGGGATCATTATAATGTAATAAACGTTCGAGACGACACCGAAAGAATTCCGCACGTACGATGAAAGTTTTTCCTCCTTGAAGAGATTATCGACACGTAAATCGTACGCGCGTGAAGGCATTCAAGTATTAGACCAAGGAGAAGAGAGTCTAAATGCCAAGAGGCATTTTTATTGTTTTAACGATAATATTTCAAACGAAATGAAATTATTTGAACTATAATGCATTATTTTTGCAATTGTATATTGTATTAGGAATAATTATTTCTTAAATAAGTTGTATATTTCGTATAGGACAATTACAATTCGTAGATATATCCGCAAGCCAAATTAGAGGAATAAACGTAAAATTTTTACGCAGGAGAGATCATTCGAACTATCTTATTCTCTTTGTTAAACAAAACAAGAATTCGTCGTATCAGCGCAAAGAGCTCTGGGTCGTTCTAATATTTCCGCGCAATATCGCCGCCGTCATTTACGAAACGCCGGATAGTTTGTATAATGCAACGACGGGACGTGTCTCTGTATATTTGCGCAATATCGCTTTACGGAGTTCTTTTATGGACGACGAAGTAGAGTTTCTTTGCATGGAAAGACGTCGGGTAATTCAGTCGGTGCTGTCCCAAATATGATTATAATATAATAATTAATATACATATGTACATAGGTATATTTAACATTTAGAGATTAATATTAACGTTAGGTATTAATTAATTAATTAGTCAGAATTCCATGAATTTTGTGTCTATTCTGAATATGAGCTTTCAGCATAGATAATAATACGTGCCATTAGGATTAATGTTATTGTTGAGATTCATCAAATTACAGATGTGTCAATTACGTTTCAATAATTACTGCGTTAAATAATGACAATGAAATGCAACATGATATAATTAATAACAAAGGAAAGCTACATACATTTCCATTTTCAGTTCTTAATCTGCACAGTAAGTAATTAATCTGCACAGATCCTGAATTTATCTTGAATTTAATATTAAAGTGAACGTTGCAAATATGATTATTTTACAACTTAATTAACACTTTATCGAACTTGTTGTTATCTTTGTACATGTAACGTTAATCTTTAAATGTAGGTTAAAACTTTAAAGATATACAATAATAGGTGGAGTGCTCAAATTACCCCAAATAAAATTTAGTTTTATAGTTATATTTTTTACTAATATATTTTATATATTATGTTATAGTTACATTTACATTAATTATATCCTTCTATTATAAAATAGAGGAATGAATTTTAAAACTTTTAGGCATCTGGATAATATTCTTTGTTTTCATTTTCCAGAACAGGTTTCAAAAAAAATTAGACTTGAGGTGCTGTGGCCATTCTACCTACCCACTTGAAAGTTAAATTTCACAATTTATATAGAAAGATATAATAAAGTAGAAAAATATTTCTCTTTTGAGAATAACAATTCGAAAAGAATGTCAATATGCAGATCTCTGCACACGACACAAAGTAACAGCGGGTACCACGATAATGAGCGCGAGTTTTATGAAAACGCGTGGTAATTTTTTTCTCTTTCTTTTGAGAACCTTTTAAACATGTCGCCCGCATTTTTGAAACCCAATCTCAGATAGATTCGTCAGCTGCAACGTACGACACGACGATCTCATTGCCGCGCCGACTTCGTGCTCGTAGTTTTGCATGAGGCTAAACGTGAAATTAAATCCGGGCATGTAAACGACCGTCATGTATATCCTGTCACCGGTTACAAACGCAAGTCACGAATCCGTAGCATACAGAACGCGTCTTTTGCTTTTATTTACAGTTCGCCTGCTCGCACCGCGAAGCCGTCGATTTAATTCCGAAAGTTCCCGGCGTCGCGACGGCGACGCCGAGAAAGAGACGCCCCGCCTTGTACAACGCGACACGGCGACATGTGTCCGTAATGTCTGCGTAACACGTGAAACTTCTTGCATTTTAGTTGCGTCGATACCATTCCTTTGAACGACGGTGAAAAGAAAGGAATCTCGAAACGAGTTCCATCAACGCTACCATCCAATAGTAAAGCCTTCTACAATATCGAATTTTTTACGAAATTTGTCTTCACAGATTCTTCAATATCCCCTAGAAGCGAATGTTGCATTTTTACAGCGTTCACTTTAAAATTAAATTCGGGATAATTCGGGATAAATTCAGGATCTGTGCATATTAATCACAATTAAAAATTAAAGATAGTAATGTGTAGCATTCATTGACCATTGAAATATAGTACCTCTAATTGTCAGAAAGGTTATATATCGATAAATACTTCACTTGTAAGTAATTTTTGGCAGACAGTAAAAAATTAATTTTTTTTTTTATATAAAGACAATGTCGTCCTAGAGGAATAATCCATATTTAAAATTAATATTTATCAACAGAGATACAGTAAAATAATTTCTAATTTTATTTTATCATAATTTAATTTTTATTGAAATTAAAAATTCTTTTATATATAATTTTAAAACTGATAAATTTTGATGATGTTGATGACATCCGACTAATTTTTTTACAGAAAGCTCTTTGAGTAAATCCAAAAATTTCTACGCGAAATTTATAGAATGTTTTTATTTAAACAGCACATTTTTTATTCACAGAGTCACTTCGTATAAACTATGAATGCGGCTCATATCAGGACGAAGATATTAACACGCTGCACGCAACGCGATGCATTCGTGCGTGCTGCATGCGTGCGTAGGATTTTTTCCATTTATTTCCCCATCTCTTTTTGCTGAGCGTTTTTACAACCACTCTCGGGTCGACATCTTTATCATTGTCGTTATATAGGTTCAATGTACCTTTTGGTTACTACTGCCTCGCTGATTAACCCTTTCAACGCCGATGGCATTGCGCGAAGAGTTGCGCAATTTATGCGCATACATTTCACTTGCGCGCCCGATTTCACCATTTTCTTCTTAGTCATCCCTTACACGAGGTCAGGTACCGAGCAAGAGACGAATGCAGTACAGTTTTAGCGTGATTAAGGTAAATGAGTTCTAGTTGCGTTCCATCACGTAACTTTTGTTGCGTGATTTTGAGCAGACACGCGGTAGACATTAATACATTGTTTATGTTTATTATTTATATATGTATTATACAGTGACTACCAAAAGTTTCCGACCAACATATAATTTTACGATAACTTTTGTCGATCTGTTTTTCAATGTTTATATTATAAGTTAATAAAATTTCTGTACAATATAATATCAACTTAAAAATATGATATTTTAAATATTGCAATATATTAAGTTCTTATATACTAGATCTTTGTTTATAAAAATATTTTGGCTGAATAATACGATTACTTCTTGGTCAGAAACTTTTGGTAGCCACTGTATATATCGTATACGTTTATTATTTATATTTGATAATTTGCGAGTATATTATTTGAAAATATTATTTAAACACTTGAATACGCACAGAAAATAGTTTATAAAAACTTTACAATATTAAAATTGTCAAATTTTATTCTAATGAAGACATGTTTAAAATTTGCAATTTGCAATGATGAATAAATTTTTATCTCGATTTATCATCTTGTTCAAAATAAATCTCGGTCCCTGTACTTATATAATAATTTTTTTTATGATAGTATCGAAAAACGAGTAACATTTTTTATGTCATATGAGAGAAATTAATTTCTACTGATAATGTTAATAACTTTCGCTTCATACATTATCAAGATCTGTTAATAGCATCTAAATGTCATGAGGGAGAAATGATTCATTTTTATTAACACAGCGCAAAGTTGGGACGCGCATTTCCATATGAAACACGCATCGCTCACTTTCGCATTGCGTGACTAATTCATCACACGCACCCTAAACACTCCACGTAGTTCGAGTAATCTTACTTGTTTTAACACTCTGGTTTACCCTTTCTTTCCCTCTTTGATGTTTTTCCATATTTTTTTTTTTCGTGACTGCCTGGTCATTTACGATTCTTTTGTGCGGAAAAAGACCACTCGAACGAATTGCCTAAGAAAACGTTTACAACATTAAATTTCAGGCAGGATAATTTGTTGGCAAAGTATTATCTTAAAAATAGCATAACAAATTATAAATTAACTGAAATAAATAAGAGATAAGTTATCAAGGATATCGATAGCATTTATCATAACAGATATATATGAGAAAAAAAGTTTGTACAGAAACATTTACGTTTCTGTATAAACTTTAGACATTCCCACGTTTTGTATATATATATATATATATATAATTAGAAAATTATATATAACTTTAAATGTAATAATTTTATATTTTGAAAAAGTATAAAGGTGAACGTACATAGAAGTAGAAGTAAGCAGTAAGCAGTAAGACTTAAGACCGCCATCTTTCATATGTATAGATATACTGGCAATGTTATAATAATTGCCTACTTCGTACGTCTTATTGCTTATTGCTTACTGCTTGCTGCTTACTTCTACTTCTATGTGCGTTTACCTTAATAGTGTAGGTAGTTGCGACTTTTTTTAGTGTTTCTTCTTCGACAGTAACTTCAATAAATTTGATGTTTGTGAAGTTTTATTGCGGAATTCCTTCATTTATCATTACTTCATTACATATCTGCCTCGACATTTATTTTTAATCCTATTTTTTTGTTACAGCTTGGTTTCTTCACGTATTACACAGTAGCGATGGGTGAGGTGAATCCCTCCGGGCCAGTGCCGATCGACAGTGTCTTTATTTACAGACCAGACAAGCGGCTCGAACTCTGGAGGTTTGCCTTCTACATGTTCCTGCACGCTGGGTGAGTCGTGATTTTCTTTATCAACGACATTTGATTGGATATTTTGCGCATTCGATCTTTTTTTTTTTTTTCATCTCTCGATTCAGCTGTTTGCGTAATTGCAAGCGTTATATCTCTCGAATATACGTATTTAATGGATATTTGTGGTGTCACATCTCGATAATATCGGATCTCTGGATCGGACCTCTCAATACCGTGTGTGTTATCCTTGTGCCCTGCCAGAACGCGTCTGCAATTCGATTCTCTCTTTGCTTCGTGATATGCAAGTGCATCGTTAATTTTCTCTGTCATCACAGAGAGAGAGAGAGGGAGAGAGAGAGAGAAACGCCAATGTAATTCGAGAAGCACACGTTTGCTTTTATATCACGTACCAACGCGACTTTATGTAACGTTCCAAACCAATGTTTTTTGCACTAATGGTTACAAAAGCAAATCTGCGTCATTGCGCATTCAAGTTATCGAGGATGTCGCAGGTGAATTCGCGACGAGAAAAATACGAGAGAGAGAGAGAGAGAGAAAGCTTAGAGTGAGTCGATGAAACCTTCGTGGAACTTCAGAGCGATGACAACCGTGAACTGTGAAGAAGCATTTTTCGTCTCACCCAAAAGTTGCGTTCACCAAGCAGTCTTGACTTTCGATTATCTCAAATAAAAGGTCTACGGCATATAGATATAATAGGTTCCATTATTTGTTGAAAATGTCATTATTATCGGCGATAAATAATAAAATTAAATTTAAGCGTTGCAGCGGAATATCATTCGATTTTGTGATATTGCGTCGCGATATTGTGATATCATATTCACAGTAATATGAATTGCAATATAAAAGAAAAGAAGAGAGTCAAACCGAAACTCCGAAATTTATAATGGTATCGTGGCGCGAATTATCACGATATTACGGTAGTTGAAAAAAAGGATTCAAGATAAACCACGTCCCAGACGTGCTTTTTGCTCCTTTTTTTACCCCTTTTTTTCGCGGACTTGCAGAATCAACTTACTTACTGCATATGTTTCGCGCGTGCTCTGCGAATTTAGTTCAACACAAAATCATATCTTTTATTGTTCAAAAAAGATATGCAATATGCTTTTTACGTTTTGTCAACAATAAAGAATGCAGGTCGCAATCATATCTGGATTTCGCGGAATATCAAAAGGAAAGGGAAGCTCTCACAAAAATATAAAAGAAAATAAATAAGAAAGGAAAATATTATAAATGTGTAGTAAAATAATAGATAAAGAAAATGAAATGTACGTTATCAGATAGACTTTTCGTATTTTGTTATTGGAAAGAAACTTTCTTTACATATAAAATATCGAATTGTGCTATCATGCATGTTGGAGATGACACGATAAAATCTTTAAAGCAAATCTTAATATTTTAGTGAAGAAAATTTAATATGTAAGAAGATTAATATGTAAGAAGATTAATTGACAGATCTATCTCACATTACTTAAGAAATGTATTTTTTAACAAAAAGGAAAAATTATGAAATAATTATAAATTTTCCTATATTGTATTTGAAAGTAATTCAAAAAAATTTTTTGGCAGCGATTTAGAACCTGGATCAAAAATTATTTTAATAAGAAATAGACGTTTTAAAAAATAATTGAGATAAAGTAAAAAAATTTTTATTTAAACTATAAAATTGTATTGTTAAATATTAGAAATATTGACTTTATTAACTTTATTGAACATGTATATAACATTAATTTCTATACGCAAAGCATAAATTTCCAATTCTAGTCACTTTTTACAGAACCTATACACCTGATACATCCTTAAACTCCTTTCTTCCTCTATAGAAAATTTGTTTATGATTACAAACGACAAACTGCAAAATGTAAGACACTCGCGTGCACGAGACCTGCCTGGGCGAAACAGATGCGACCCTATATATCTACGATCAGCCACCTGCGTTCATCATGGACGTTAGGCATTGAGTCACTCAATTAATTATAGCCAATTGCAATCCCTGTACCATGTTGTCGCACGTCACATTGATTTAATTCGAGCGACGCGACGAAAATAAAATTGTATTATAAGCGTTTCGGTATGCATTTTATTCTCTCACGCCGCGGGAAAGTGGAGCGCAGGGAGAAGGTGGCAGCTTTCTTCGTTCACAGCTATTTTTCCACCATGTCTTTTGCTCTCATTTTCTTTTCGCTTGCTCTCTCTGGTTTTTACCTCCCCTTTCTGTTCTCCCCAACGACTTTTTTGCTCTCCCCTTGGCTTCTCCCATCCCTCACATTCCTTTAGACGCATCAACATTTCTATACTCTCTCCTATGAGATGAAAAGAGATCGAGAGACCGACGGACGATTCTGTGTGCTCTCTCTCTCTCTCTCTCTCTCTCTCTCTCTCTCTCTCTCGCCGACAGAGTAGAAGTTTTCAGTGCGCGAAGCGCTCTAAATTATTCATGGAAACGCCAGATAAGACGACCGTTTTCCGTACGTGCGTATGGAAACGACGATAAGAGTGACCTCATCGCTGTTTTCTTTCCTATAGAAAGTATGTATTCGCCCAATCTTCGTCGCTCTTCCTTTCTTTCATTCTCTCTCTTCTTCTCTATTATTCTCTTTGCTCTCCTATTCCATTTCTGATATTAGACTCCCCTTATTTAACGCATCATTCCTTTTATCTTTTATTTCTGTTTGCATTCTGCGTTGCATTTATCTTCACCATATCTTTTCTTGTGTTGCTTTCCTATTTTTGTAGATCGGTTATTAATGTTTCTTTTATTAACTTTCCTTTTCTCTTGATACTAATTTTTTTATTTATTATGCATTTTTTATATTTATATATATACTGAAATAGCGCATGTTTTGAGGCTCTAAATAACGAGATTGTTACCATTTCTAAACCATGAAATTTAGGATCCTGAAAATCCTGTTGGTCTGCGGTATTCCCGCTACTTACATGCGTCTAATACTCGTTTCTATCATTGTAGATTAACTTTAATCTCGGTTCAACTTACTTCTCTTCATCTTCTTTTACTTCTTAAAACTAGAAAAAGATAAAAAGTTAGTTGAACCAAAATTAAAATTAAACTACATTGGCAGAAACGGGCACAATTCGAGGTTTTTGTGCACTAATTCGAGGTTCGCTATTACGAGGTTTCAATGTATCTAATTTGTCCATGTTCTCATAGTCTTCTGATGCTACTGGTGTCTGGTAGTACTTAACTTGCTAGTATTGCACCGTTATATTATTTTCTGTTACAATATTGTTCAAACGGGACTTTAGTTTTATTCTTCGTTTCTACTTCGGTCCTTCTCCTTTTCTTAAACTTCTTTTGCTACACCTTTGTCTTTCTTTTTACCGATTATTTCTTTCATCGATTCGCGCTCTCGTAGCAGTTGGATTATTAATGCAAGTAACGCCTCGCGCGCGTCCATCAAAAGTCATTTCTCCAAGCATTACGTGATCCCGAAAGAAATCAGGAGCGGGAGAGAGATAAGATACGTTGTAACGCGCGCGGTAAGTCGAAGATAAATTTCGTAAGAGCTGATGAATACGTTCGTGAGACGTGGATCTCCAGGGAAGATACTCTACGCGTATCTGGATAGATACATTTAGAATTGCGTCTCGAGAAAGCCATGAGTATATCGCGGCAAAAAATAAGGATAATAGAGCAATCGATATTTAAAAAATTTGTATTTATGTTATCGACGTCAGTGGATATCACGTGATATCTCGGATCGGCCATGTACGCGCGAGCATTATATGTCGTTCACGCTAATTGGTATAAATCGAGGTTATGATAAGCGGTATAATGCATCAGCGGTGACACACGAGCTGCCAGAAGAGACCAAAAGCGCGATCCATAATCGACGAATAAAAAGTCTGACGCTTCAGCCGGGCGACAGGCGATTAATTATAAAAACAAGATGGCTCGCGCTATCGAGCGCCTTTTTCCGTCTCCGCGTAACGCCCGTTACCTCCGCCAGACGTTATCGAGCTTCCTCTGTTATTAATGTGAAAACTGTCTTTGCCGTCGTGCTCCGAAGTCGCGACTGCGTCCTATTTCACCGTCTCCTTCTCAACCTCTTCGTGTTCGCGCGCGATGCCCGTGAGAAAGCCGGAAGCGCGGAAAAATCGAGACAATCGCCGTAATTGCGGGAAGTCAACGCGCGCGACAGCGTTGTCGGAGCAGACACAATGGTATCGCCGAGTCCGCAAAATACGGAGCCGCACCGAAAAGATCGCGACGCTCGAGACAGGACACGCTTCTGTATTTCGTCGCTTGTGGTACATCGACTCGTGCGAATCAAGCTCGAATTCACGGAGGACGCTTTGTTGCGCTCGAATCGTCGCTGGACACGTTTGTCCATGTTAAAAAAACGCGGCTTGCAAGAATCCGGTGATGAAGGATTTTTATTTTCTTTGGTACCTAAAATCACACTAAGCAGTTAATGCTTTCTTAAAATAGATATATTAATGCATGCAGTAAGTATATCGATACTATTTGCATTGTGAACTTTTATAATGATTATACACTAAAAAAATAATCAACAGCATTATTTTAATTAAAAATAATTTTGTTAATTCACACAATAACTCCATTAATAATATTATTAATGGAACAAATACGCAATCGTGCTCTCGTTTTGTTAAAATTTTATTTATTTTATTAATGTTATTGGATATGTGAATTAACAAGATTATTTTAAATTAAAATAATGCTGTTAATATTGCATTATTTTTTCAGTGTTTGAAGGAAAAGCAGCTTTTCAAATTACAAATATAAATAATTAAAATACTTATAGTATATTGTATATTGTTTACTTATACATATTTTAAATTTGATTAATTTAGTTATATACGGAAACTCCGGTTTCTCTTCATTTTCTTTATTAATATCCATAGATAAAAAATTAAATAATATATACACTTTATTAAATATACTAGGTTCTTTACAACAAAAATTAAATATATTCTTTATTCTTTGCAACAAAATTTATATAGTGCTACTAGCGATGCAACACGCAAACGTAAGATAA